AGGAGGCGAGGATAGGACGGGAGAAGGAGGAGGAGGAGGAGGAGGAGGAGCAGCAGCAGCAGTAGCAGCAGGAAGAGGGTGACGGCGATGCTAAGGAGTAGGGCAGGAGGAGAAGGATCGAGGGAGGGACAAGGAGGAAGGAGCGATGGAGTGAGGGAGGGAGGAAGGGAGGGAGGAGGAGGAGGAACGCTGAGGGATCAGGCAGGATGGAAGAGGGAGAGGGACGGGGGGGAGGAGAGGGGTTACGACGACGACATGGACATGGACATGGACATGGACATGGACATGGACATGGACATGGACATGGAGGAGGAGGAGGAGGAGGAGGAGGAGGAGGAGGAGGAGGAGGAGGAGGAAGAGCGAACTGGGGCATCGCAGATGGGTGAGCGATCGCTCCCCTTTCCAGAGAGAAGGGCGCGTCGCAGGGGCCTGAGCCCACGCGCCGCGTTGCGCTGCAAGGGGGAGCGCAAGTCCCGCGCGCGCCCGCGCCAGTGCTCCTGCGGGCCTCGACGGCAACCTGCTGGGCGCGGGGGGCCAGGGCGACCTCGCCGCTGCCTCGGACGGGCGGGCTCCTGGACGGGCCTGCCTCTGAGCGGGCGGGGGGGGCGGCTACCCTTGGGGCGGTCGGAGCGCAACAGGGGGGCGCCGGGGCCCCATCTTCCCGCCACCCCCCTCTCCCTGTCCCTTCTCCCGTCCCTCCACTATCTCCGCTTCCCTCCTCTTCTCCTGTTCGCTCCTTTCTCCTCTCCCGTCTCCTCTCGCCTCTCCCTCCTCCCTCGCGGAGGCAGTGCGAGTCCCCAGGGCCAGTGCCCTCCGGGCTCCCGCTCCTTCGCTCCCCTCGGGGCTCCCGATCCGTCCCCTCGGGGCTCCCGATCGCTCCCCTCGGGGCTCCCGGTCGCTCCCCTCGGGGCTCCCGGTCGCTCCCCTCGGGGCTCCCGGTCGCTCCCCTCGCGGCGCCTGGTCGCGCCTGCCCTGGGCCTCCGCGCGCGGCCGCCAGTGGGCGGCCGGGCGCCGCCGTGCGCCGCCGCGCACACCTCCCCTCTCCGCGCCGCAGTCGGAATCGCTACCTCCCCCCTCCTCCCGCCTCCTCCCTCCTTGCTGCTGGCCTCCGCCTCCTCCCTCCTCCCTCCTCCTCTTCCTCCTCCCTCCTCCTCCTCCTCCTCCTCCTCCTCCTCCTCCTCCTCTTCCTCCTCCTCCTCCTCCTCCTCCTCCTCCTCCTCCTCCTTCTCCCTCCCTCCCTCCTCCTGCTCCTCCTGCTTCTCCTCCTCCTTACCTCCTCCTCCTCCTCCTCCCGTCCCCCTCCTCCCTCCTCCCTCCTCCCTCCCTCCCCCTCCTCCTCTCTCCTCCTCCTCCTCTCCTCCTCCTCCTCCTCCTCCTCCTCCTTCTCCTCCTCCTCCTCCTCCTCCTCCTCCTCCTCCTCCTCCTCCTCCTACTCATTCCTGCTCTGTGCAAAGTTGGCTTCGGTAGGTTCGCGTCGTGTCGACTGGCGGCGACCTCGCCGCCAGCGTTCAAAATGTTTAGCGCGCCAGCGACCCAGAATCGATCCAGTTTGAACGATCCGACGTTTCGGAAGCGTTCGATCCTTCCAGGTTGAACGATCCCCGCGGTGTCAGGGACCAACGCCATGGTTGGCACGGCACGAACCGGTCGTGATCCCGATCGGGGACCAGGAATGGTGCGAGTTCAGAGATGGAAAAACCACCCCGACCCTTATCATTGGCGTTGACTACGCGACCCTGGGCGTTGACTAAAAAGCCCTGCCATGCTCGATTCCTTCCTTGGGTGCGTTTACTAAACAGCTTCGCTTGTCTGAGTGTTTCTTGTGACATGTTTTGTCTTCCCTCTATGAATGAAACCTAGGTCACCCTTAGGGGTGCGAGGAGAGTCGCGCGTCGGGCATCGCGGCTTGGATTGGAGAGGCGCCCTTCTCCAACGCCACATGGTATTTCCCCTTGCCTATCCCTCTGGATCTTCTTCCTGCTCTACCCCCCATGGGCTTCGGGGCCTCGGCGTTGATGCGACATCGTTGCCTGTTTCATGCATGGCGCTTTTGAACTTCGCGCGTCCCCTCTTTCCACGGAGTGATGTGAGTGAAACATGCCGTCACAGAGCCTACGTTTATTGCGAAGGCCTGACGGCCGGTGCCGCCGACCCTGAAGAGGACCACGACGTCGGCGACGAAGTGGGCGGAGACGGAGGCCGTAGAAGATGATGAGGAGGCGAGGAGGAGGAGGAGGAGGAGGAGGAGGGAGGAGGAGGAGGAGGAGGAGGAGAGGAGGAGAAAGGAGGAGGAGGAGAAGGAGGAGGAGGGAGGAAGAAAAGGAGGAGGAGGAGGAGGAGGAGGAGAGGAGGGAGTAGGAGGAGGAGGACGGGGAGGAGGGGGGAGGGAGGAGGAGGAGGAGGAGGGGAGGAGAAGGTGGAGGAGGAGGGGGAGGAGGAGGAGGGGAGGAGGAGTAGGAAAGGGGGCTGGCGGGAGAAGGAGGAGTTGGAGGAGTTGGAGGAGGAGGAGGAGGAGGAAAGAGAGGAAGAGGAGGAGGAGGAGCAGGAGGAGGAGGAGGAGGCGGAGGAGGAGGAGGAGGAGGAGAAGGAGGGAGGAGGGTGGCCGAAGAGAGGGCTCCGGCGGCGCCAGAAAGCCTCGATTCTCGAGCCTGGGGTTCAGAGTCCGCAGAGTGAGCAGCAGGAGGAGAGGAGGAGGAGGAGGAGAAGGAGGAGGAAGAGGAGGAGGAGGAGGAGGAGGAGGAGGAAGAGGAGAAGAAGGAGTAGGAGGAGGAGGGGGACTTGTTCTACATGCTTGGTCTTTCGTCATTTTCGGCCTCCTGGGGCCATTTTGAGGACCGGGGAGTCTCGAAACCGGACCCGTGTTTCAGAACTGAACCGATCTTCTCAAGACGCCAGACGTCTAAGCGTCCCGAGCGCTCTGACTGCCCGTCGGTTGGCGGCGGCGGAGCCCCGCCTCGCCGCCTTTCACAGCCCTCGCAGCCCTTCGGAAGCGAAAAGGCGAGAAAGCCAAAAACATTGATTTTCTGGGGGTTCGGGCCGTTTTCTTTGGTTTCTTTGGGGCATCCGTGGACAGTTCGGAAGATTCCTGTCGTCGAGGACTTGTTTTTGGCATCATGTGGGAGAGTCTTGGACGGCTGGGGGTATTTTGAAAGGCTCGTGGCATCACCCTGGGGATGTCTGTGAGATTCCGAAGCCGCGTGGGGTTCCAGAACCGCGCGGGGACCGCGCTGGACGCGCGGGGAGCGCGCGGGGAGTGAAGGCGTATCTGGGTGGCGACCCCCCCCGGGACCCCCCCGGGGACCCCTCCGGGACCCCCCCCCCGCCGGGGGACAAAGGGAAGGGCCTTCCCTTTGACGTGGTTACGACATGGGTCGATTTCCCTCAAGCCCGCTAGAGCACTGCAACGACGACGACGACGACGACGACGACGACGACGACGACGACGACGACGACGAACGGCACAGCCCCTCACGCACGCCGAAAGGGTCGGCGGATTTCAATGGCCTCGGGCCTGTGCCGCCGATCCGGGGCGCTTGTGGTGTTTGAGTTCCGCCATCGTGTAGCGATGAACGAAGATTTAGACACCGTGTAGCGATGAGCGAAGACTTAGATGTTCGAGGTGCGAGGTGTTCGGAGGTCTTTCGCTGGTTCTTGGTGCAGCCCTTTCGCGTCCGAGCAATACCAAGTCAGACCATGCACCTCTGGCCCGGCAGCGAGTGAGGCAGCGCTTCTTTGGGCCACGCGCTAAAAGAACCAACGTTGGTTTCATCACTCTGACCTTGGATGCCCCTCGGGGCCCTCCGAGGACTATCTTGGCCGTCTCGGGGAGAGGCACGCAAGGAGATGCGAGGAGGAGGGGAGGCGGGCACAGAGAACAACGAAAGCCCAGCCAAGGCAGCACAGACAACGTGCCAGGTGGCACGGTGGCGGATGTAGAATCCAGACGCCGTCTCGCATCACAGCTTGCCGTCACTGATCTCGCCACCCCCAGGCAGCACGTGCCCTCTTCCTCTCCATCATTCCTCCTCCTGCTCCCTCTGCTGCTGCTGCTGCTGCTGCTGCTGCTGCCTTTCTTCCTCCACATTCCTCCTGCTCCTCCTTATTCCTCTTCCTGCTCGTCGTCATCCTCCTCAAGATCCTCCTCGTGCTTATCCTCCTCAGGCGCGCTGTCCCCGCCGTGATCCCTACTGTACTTGGGTGGGCTCCGCTGGAGCGATGCAAGTGCCCGGCCCGGGGTGACCCCTGGGCAAGCTCAGAGTAGCCGTGGACGCTGCGCGCGACGGTTTCCTTCAGGCTGCGTAGCAGTACTACGCAGCCTGAAGGAACTCGAAGTACTACGAATTGGAGGGTTGGCGAGGACGAGTACTGAGTACTCGTCCTCGTCCATCTCAGGCCTAGAGGTTGACACCAACACCAATATCGGCGGTGCTCCTCCAGCGAGGGAAGAAAGATCCCGATCTCGGTGATGGTGGTAATATTCTGGCTTCCAAGGTGGCCGAAGTATTACCACCAACACCGAAATCTAGGATCATCTCCCCCATGTGGAGGCAGGCCCCTGTCGTGGTGTTGGTGCCGATTTCCAGGCCTCCGAGTCCACCCTCCACGTCGTTCTTCTCGTCGTCTCCCTTGTCCGTGTCCTCCTCGCTCGGCCCTCCTCGGCCTCGGCACCCACGAAGTACTACGAAGTGGAGGGTTGGCGAGGACGAGTGCTCAGTACTCGTCCTCGTTCGCCCTCCACGTCGTTCTTCTCGTCGCCTCCCTGGTCCGTGTCCTCCTCGCTCGGCCCCCCTCGGCCTCGGCCTCCCGCGAGGAGGCCGCGGCGCGCTCGGGGCTCCCGTTGCGCGAGCGCGGGCACGCCGTGGGCCGCGGGCGCTCCCCGAAGAGTGGGGGCACCTGCGCAGTCAACCCCTGGCATCGCTCGGACGTGTGCATTTTTGTCTCGGCGAGGGCCATCGAGGAGCATCCTTGATCATTTGGCAAAGCTTGGCCATCGAGGAGCATCGAGGAGCATCTGGCTCAAGCTTTGTTGCCCGCAGCTTGGATCTCCAAGCTTGCACTGCACCGTACTGGCACCGATGGCAACTCTTGATGACGGCTACACCGAGTGGTTCGACATGTTTGGCCAGAAGGCGGACGTCATTTTACTATGCGGTGTCGCATTGGCGCTGATTGGCACTTGTGCCTTCATGTACGAGATGTACTCTCTTGTTGGTCGCTATCCTGACCAGCCCCCTGCATGGGCGACCTTCGAGAACCTGATCAAGCACTTTCCGAACTCGCAAAAGATGACTTGCCTTGACTTCTACTTAGGGTCTGATCTGATATGTTTGGCATTGCTGCCTGAACTGAAGAGCCGATCGCGTGCGTTTCTGTTTTTTACCGGACTTACTTGTATCTGCTTAATCGTCGTAATCGGGTTCGGACACGTCTGTCCACACGTGTGCCGCATGATCCGCAAGAGGCCCGCAGCGAATGCCACGGAGTTCCGCGGTGACACTATTTTTCTGGATTTCACGGTCCCGATGTCCGAGGTGTGCGTCAAAGCCTTAGCTCAGATCTCGTTGTTCAGTGTGTACGTCGTTGGGCTCTATGACGCGTTGATACGCCCTACGGTTGACATCAGTTTGACATATTGGGCAATTTCGATTGTAGCGGTTCAGTTCTACATGTTCAATGCCGATCCTCAGACTAGCAGGTCGACCTATATTTCATCTGCCCATTTAATCGAAGAAGTGTTTTCTCGTGGTAGAGAACACACTTGTTTCGTGAGGACTGGAGAGGCTGAGTGGATTCGCCCGCCAAGACCGAGCATGATCCTTCGGTGTATCCTCCATTTTGTGGTGAACGGTGTTGGATTTGTTCTGATATGGTTGACGGTGCCGTTGTTGGTGTCATACTCCGAGTCACCTCTTGACTATCTTATGAATTTATTCGCGGTGACATTTCTCACCCAACTCGATGATGCCACCGAAGCGCAGACGTTCCAGATCAGATTTCAAATTGGTTGCGACAACGTGCCCTGTTCGATCGAAGAGCGAAGGCCACGCAAGCAAATGTTGTCGGAACACCGAAGGAGTGCAACAATTCCGTCCATCGAATCGGGCACCGCTGAATCGGAGCTGGAAAGCTTGAGACATCGCCTCGCAGTGCTAGAGGCCAAATTTGGGTCTTCATGATGACTCTCAGCCAGGCTATTCTGCGAAGCTTTGCACGCCGCGATTGTGCAACTTTGATTCGTTGGTCCGCGATCGACACAAGTTCAACCAGGCGGGCTCTGCATTGGTGGCATTCGCCCACGCTTGACACCAATTCAAGCAGGTTGGACAGCATTGCAAGCGAATTCGGCTCCGCTGCAGCAGCGGGGCATGGCCCTCTGCACTGCTCAGCCGAAGCAGAGCAGTGTGTCCTGGCCTCTCTCTCGAATATCTGGACCACAGAGCTGGCGTTGGCGGTCGATTGCAGTGTTAGTACGTACTCGTAGTGAAGGATTCACGACGTCCTACGCGACGCGAACACAGGGCCGATCACCTGCGTGCCTATCGATACGCCTGGGGCTCGTAACAAGAATTATGAGACCTGTGCTCGACTCCGGCCTAAGCCCGGCATCCGCGATCTGTCTGAAGAGTAACGTTGTCTTCGCACCGCCAGAGCCCAGTGGGAGCGTGTTGCTTGCTTCTCCTCCTCGCCTCCTTCTCCTCATTGTCCTACGGATAATTCGCCTCCATGGTGCATTCACTTACTGCTTGGGGTCCACGCTGGCAAAATTACGCTATTTCAGCGGAGCCTCAGGCCCTTTCTGTGTTGTGCGACTCTTTCACTTTTGTGGTAATGGCATGTGCGTTTAATCTTGACGTTCGCGGGCATGAGCGGAGCAGGCGCCGCCAACGCTCGGGCAGATCACCTGCATCCCCCGGGTAGATAACCCGCAGTCTCCGAGGCGGATGATTTCGATTGCGATTGTGCGCATCGTGTCTCGTGCCGAGACTCCGTCCGACTTTCCTCTCCGCGCTCCCTCGTCTCTTGTTGGCCCCTGATGGCTTGCCGTCAGTCCCTCTTCGCGAATTCGTCGACACAAGTTCAACCAGGCGGGCTCTGCATTGGTGGCATTCGCCCACGCTTGACACCAATTCAAGCAGTTTGGACAGCATTGCAAGCGAATTCAGCTCTGCTGCAGCAGCGGGGCATGGCCCTCTGCACTGCTCAGCCGAAGTAGAGCAGTGTGTCCTGGCCTGTCTCTCGAATATCTGGACCGCAGCGCTGGCGTTGGCGGTCGATCGCAGTGCCAGTGCGTTGTCGTAGTGAAGGATTCACGACGTCCTACGCGACGCGAACACAGGGCCGATCACCTGCGTGCCTATCGATACGCCTGGGGCTCGTAACAAGAGTTATGAGACCTGTGCTCGACTCCGGCCTAAGCCCGGCATCCGCGATCTGTCTGAAGAGTAACGTTGTCCTCGCGTCGCCAGAGCCCAGTGGGAGCAAAACAAAAAAAAATATCCTGGCGAAGGACCCAACCATATGCAATTGTGAATACTGCAATTGTGAATTCTTCTCGGTGGAGCCCCCTACGGGGCCACGAAACGTACGAGGGGTATGCCGAAATGGGTATGCGGGACGCATGCGGGCACACCCACTGGGGCCTTCGGTGGAGCTCTCTATGGGGCCAAGAAACGTTTGAGGGGTGTGCCGAAATGGGTGTGCGGGACGCATGCGGGCACACCCACTGGGACCTTCGGCGGAGCTCCCTATGGGGCCACGGAACGCGTGAGGGGCGTGCCGAAATGGGTGTGGCTGACGCATGCGGGCGCGGGCACTGGGGCCTTCGGCGGAGCTCCCTATGGGGCCACGAAACGTGTGAGGGGTGTGCCGAAATGGGTGTGGCTGACGCATGCGGGCGCGGGCACTGGGGCCTTCGGTGGAGCTCCCTATGGAGCCGCGAAACGTGTGAGGGGTGTGCCGAAATGGGTGTGGGTGACGCATGCGGGCGCGGGCACTGGGGCCTTCGGTGGAGCTCCCTATGGAGCCACGAAACGTGTGAGGGGTGTGCCGAAATGGGTGTGGGTGACGCATGCGGGCGCGGGCACTGGGGCCTTCGGTGGAGCTCCCTATGGAGCCACGAAACGTGTGAGGGGTGTGCCGAAATGGGTGTGGGTGACGCATGCGGGCGCGGGCACTGGGGCCTTCGGTGGAGCTCCCTATGGAGCCACGAAACGTGTGAGGGGTGTGCCGAAATGGGTGTGGGTGACGCATGCGGGCGCGGGCACTGGGGCCTTCGGTGGAGCTCCCTATGGAGCCACGAAACGTGTGAGGGGTGTGCCGAAATGGGTGTGGGTGACGCATGCGGGCGCGGGCACTGGGGCCTTCGGTGGAGCTCCCTATGGAGCCACGAAACGTGTGAGGGGTGTGCCGAAATGGGTGTGGGTGACGCATGCGGGCGCGGGCACTGGGGCCTTCGGTGGAGCTCCCTATGGAGCCACGAAACGTGTGAGGGGTGTGCCGAAATGGGTGTGGGTGACGCATGCGGGCGCGGGCACTGGGGCCTTCGGTGGAGCTCCCTATGGAGCCACGAAACGTGTGAGGGGTGTGCCGAAATGGGTGTGGGTGACGCATGCGGGCGCGGGCACTGGGGCCTTCGGTGAGCTCCCTATGGCTGTGCCGCATGTGGATGCCACGAAACCGAAATGTGTGTGGGTGTGGGTGACGCATGCGGGCGCGGGCACTGGGGCCTTCGGTGGAGCTCCCTATGGAGCCACGAAACGTGTGAGGGGTGTGCCGAAATGGGTGTGGTGACGCATGCGGCGCGGGCACTGGGGCCTTCGGTGGAGCTCCCTATGGAGCCACGAAACGTGTGAGGGGTGTGCCGAAATGGGTGTGGGTGACGCATGCGGGCGCGGGCACTGGGGCCTTCGGTGGAGCTCCCTATGGAGCCACGAAACGTGTGAGGGGTGTGCCGAATTGGGTGTGGGTGACGCATGCGGGCGCGGGTACTGGGGCCTTCGGTGGAGCTCCTATGGGGCTACGAAGCGCTGTACTGGGTGGGTGAAACGCAGGGAAGAGGGGGGATGATGATGATGATGATGATGATGATGATGATGATGATGATGATGATGATGATGATGATGATGATGATGATGATGATGATGATGATGATGATGATGATGATGATGATGATGATGATGATGATGATGATGATGATGATGATGATGATGATGATGGTGATGATGGTGATGATGATGATGATGATGGCAGGAGGGAGGGGGCAGCGGGAGGAGGAGGAGGAGGGAACGCGGGGCGCTGTCTCTTCAAAACGAGGACCCAACACCACAGGATGGTTGGGAAAAAACCCTTGATCATTTGGCAAAACAACCACGCACGAAACCGAACAAAAAAAAACACCAGGAATGGACGTCCGAGCGATGGCCGGAACCCGCACAGCACGGATGGGCAGCCTTCCCAGGGGTACCCCCTTTTACGGGGCGTGAAAATGACCCTGGCATCGCTCGGACGTGTGTAGTTTTTGTCTCGGCGAGGGCCATCGAGGAGCATCCTTGATCATTTGGCAGAAGAAAACACGCACGAAACCGAAAAAAACACCAGGAAATGGACGCCCGAGCGATGGCCAGAACCCGCATAGCACGGATGGGCAACCTTCCCAGGGGTACCCCCCTTTCGCATCCTTGCCTCCTCGGTCCATCCTTGGCCACTTTCGTTGGCCGCGCTCCGCTCGAAAAGCTTCGAAACGGCCGTGCGGGCTGGCGCCCGGCGAGCTTCCTGTCAGTCTCCAGTGATCGCCCAGGGGGGAGGAGTACGGGGCGTGAAAACGACCACAGCCACTGCTTTTCTTTTGTTGCCGCCTTCCAGCCCGCAGAAACAGAGCAGTGGTTGTGGTCATTTTCGTTGAGCTTGGCACCAGGGAAATGACCACAGCCACTGCTTCTTTTTCGGCCGGCTGGAAGGCGGCGCAAACAAGAAGCAATGGCTGTGGTCATTTTCCCGTCCCGCACCCTTGCATCCTTGCCTCCTCGGTCCATCCTTGGCCACTTTTGTTGGCCGCGCTCCGCTCGAAAAGCTTCGAAACGGCCGTCCGGGGCCCTTGCATCCTTGTCGCGCCATCTCATGACACGGGCCGACTGTAAGCCGTGTGGAGCTTTGACGCGTGGATTCCGATGGCTTCCCCCGTCGGCGGTGGGCTTGTCCTCCCCGTTCGCGCCTGCATCCTCGTCCTCAACAGGGGTCACCCGAGGGGGCGCGCAGACAGGCGCGCATCGCGGCTTCAACTGGAGGCCGTCGGAGAATGCTGGAGATGCGCCCTTCTCCAGGGCGGCGCTGCGAGGGCGCGAAGGCAACCGCGCGCTGCGCACCGCGGGGTGCAAGTGCGCGGAGCTCGGTGCCCCTGTCGAGTTCGTCTCTCCTCCCTCCGCCTCCCTACGTATACTCGTCGTGGGCATCCCCTCTGCCCTGGCTGAAGAGCGGGAGCCGAGGCCGCCGTGTTCGCGGACCAGGACTCGCCGACGCCCCGCTGGCGCCCGGCGAGCTTCCTGTCAGTCTCCAGTGGTCGCCCAGGCTTGGCATCGCTCGGACGTGTGCGTTTCTCCTTCGGCGAGGACCATCGAGGAACATCCTTGATCATTCGGCGAAAAAGCCACGCACGAAACCGACAAAAAACACAGGGAGTGGACGTCCGAGCGATGGCCGGCAGGGGAGGAGGAGGTCGGCGGGCGCAAGTCCCAGACCCCCTCGCGCCGGGAACAGCAATCGTGACGGTCGGCTGTTTGTGTCTGGCATTCGGGACCCCGTGTTGGGTGTCGGGACCCTCAGGAAAGCGCTTCAGAACGAAACGTTTGCTTTCGGGAAGGGATCCACAGCTCCACGGGTCACGCTGTGAATCAGAGCGTGAATTACCTACCCCGCTTTCGCTTCCAGGCAAAACCAAGTCATACCACGCGCCTCCTCGTCAAGCGGCCTGACCAGTACAGGCCGTAGTTTGGCATCGTTTGGTATCTCTTGGAAGCGAGGGTGGTCAAAAGCGAAGTAGGTTTGTTTGCCCCCTAGTGAATGAATCATGACGACGGGGGTTTGGGGGACCGAGATGAATCGCTCCGGAGCGCTCAGAGGCAGGGCCGTGGCGCCCGATGCAGCTTGCAGAGTTGCTGGCCATCAGAGCTCCCCCGCCCTCTTTGCCTCGGCTTCGTGGAAGAGGAAGGAGGGAGGAGGGGTGATCTCAGAAGTTTGCAGGTGGTTGGCCCTCCCCGGGGCCTCGGGAGGAGGGGGAAGAGGAGAGAAGGAGAGTGTGGAGAGAGGGGACGGATTATGATTTGAGGGGAGATAATAGACGAGGCAGAAGAAAAGGAGGGGGATGAGGACGGCGACGACGACGACGACGACGACGACGACGACGACGACGACGACGACGACGACGACGACGACGACGACGGAGGAGGTGGAACAGGAGGAGGAGGAGGAGGAAGATGAGGAGGAGGAGGAGGAGGAGGATGAGGATGATGATGCTGCTGCTGCTCCTCCTCCTCCTCCTCCCTCTCCTCCTCCTCCTCCTCTCCTCCTCCTCCCTCCTCCTCCTCCTCCTCCTCCTCCTCCTCCTCCTCCTCCGCCTCCTCCTATTCCTCCTCCTCCTCCTCCTCCTCCTCCTCCCTCCTCCTCCTCCTCCTCCTCCTCCTCCCGCTACGCCGACGAAGACTTGGGCAAGCGCGCGGCCAGGGCCCATGGCTGACGGATCTGGAAGCGTTCGAGGGGCCGCTCTGAGCTTGTTCTGAAGTTCTCGGTGTGGACCGGATTGCTTCAGTCTCGCAGTCGGCGGTCCTCTGGATGGCGTTACGCACGGACCTGCCACTCTGCGTAGGACGGGTGGGTCCAGGGCCTCGCTGTCGAGCTTCGTGGGAGCCTCGCTTGCTGGTGGGGCCGCATCAAGATATTTATGGCGAGGCGAGGCGATGGCGCAGTATGGTTGCGTGCAAGTTGTCTTGCGTTGGGACGTTGATGTCCACGAGCGCTATGGCGGCTCTCTGGAGGTAATTAACAGGATGGTGGATCAGCTGGCTCAGCCTGACGCGGCAGCCGCCGACGCCCGATCCAGCCTGCTGCATTGGATGATCGTGGCGATCTTGGACCACGCTTGCGGGGAGGTCGATCGCGACGATCGTGCAGAGTTCGCGGTCGGTCGATTCCGATTCGAGCGTGTCGCAGGCCAGGGGGCTCGAGGACCGACCAGGTCACTCGATGATCCGTGTCAGTCACGGCCCGCGGTCATACGTGGTCAGGTAGACAAACAGTCACCAGGTCGATGTTCGCTCGTGGTTTGGCTCCAGTTTACGGTCTGCGTTGGTGATGTGCGTGAGCGCAACCATGGCGAGCAAGGCCGCCACGCCCGCGTCCACATCCCCCCAGTTGCACTGCTAAGTTGCGCGTGGGATCCGACGTAGCCCGCCGCAGTCGTTCGGTTGTCTTGTAGAACGGCTTTGCTTGGTGTAGGA